CTGCAACCTGAAATAACAGAAGGATATCTAGAAGATTATCCTCCTCGTAGAAACGATAGAAGATTGTCAGAAAGAGGCCAGAACGTCAGAACCCGGTATGTCTCCGACTTTGAAAGAAATGGTGCAGAGTATGCGCCGCAACCAAAACGCCGCAAAAAAGGAGAGGTAAAATTCTATTTTACATTATTCGCTTTATGTTATTGCTGAAATTGGATATCGCCCATATAGATATTGAAATTTAAATCCGAAAAATGGGTTGATACACGATCCTATGTGGTCTGTGAAACTTATCTCTGTTTTTTCTCCTCTTATCACATTTACCAACAGGTTGGCTTAGCAAACATCTTGGAACGCATAGTGGACACGCTACGATTTAAAGAAGAAGTGTCACGCCTCTTCTTGAAACCGGTTTCCAAGAAGGAGGCCCCTGACTATCTCGACATTGTGAAAAGACCGATGGATCTATCGAAAATACGGGATAAGGTACGGAAGATAGAGTACAGAAACAGCGAACAGTTTAGACACGACGTCTGGCAGATCACGTTCAATGCTCATCTTTACAATGACGGGCGTAATCCAGGAATACCGCCTTTAGCAGATCAGTTGCTGGAGATTTGTGATTACTTGTTGGATGATTATAAAGATCAGTTAAAGGAAGCTGAGAAAGGTATAGATCCCAATGACTAGGAGAAATTTATGAGATAGAATCTGTATCCCCTCTTTAGGCAAAAAAAAAAAGGGTGTTTTTAGCTTAGCTAATGAATTTTGTATGAAAAAGAAACATTGTCATGTCTGTGTAAAGCCGAAGTAATGAAAAGAAAAGAAATTGTTTTTTTTGTAAACAATTTTGCTTATGCGTAATTGTGAAATAAGCACCTGCAAATTGCTTCGATCTCTCAATAAGATACAGAAGTTACTGTAAATCTTCTGATTTTTATAAGAGAGCGTTTGAAAACAGATATATTAACTCTTCTATAATAATTATAAATGATAAATTTCTTCTCTTTTGACCAAAAAAAAAAAAAAATCCTCTCATATTCCATTAGGTGGGAAACTTCCCTCTTAACTTTTTGTTTTCTTTCAAATTTTTAGCCAAAATTATTTTTCAACTTTTTTTTTTAATGGTATAAAAATAGAGTAATTTGGAGTAATTGTTTTTGGCCGAAACTTTTACTATAAAGATATTATCAATCACACCATTTGTGTAGGGCGAAAAAAAATTGAAAATGTATTACACATATTTATATGGCACATAATAATAATAATAAACTGAGTGTCAAAAGCATAAATTTTGTATGGAAAAATAGTGGTTGAGTAGTC